TTAATTGTCCTTGTAGCCGTAGCAGATTCCTCCTCTTACATTAATGAAGTACAAGGCTTCGTTACACGTTTATAATTGCAATATTTAAATTTGCCATTTCACATCTGGAAGAAGCTGGAAACTCCTCTGTAACAGCGGGTCTGAGCCAGTGCTGTAATACAGTGAGAGGGTCCGGTGTGTGTTACAAGGATGGCAGGAGAGAGTGGGGCAGAGCCCTGAGGAAACCTCCCCTCCGGGAAGGGGGAATGGCCGTGCTGGGTCTGGCTGGGAAGGGAAGAGAGCAGAGGGGAAGCGAGAGCTGGAGCTGTCTCCTCCAGGGAGATCTCCAGAACGGCAAGCTTCAAAATAAATCAGTTTAGGGAAGACACCACAGGCTGTAGGCTCTCATCAGAGAACACCGCACTTGCCACATGAACAGCATCTTGTGCAGCCTCAGAAGCTGCTGAAGGACCAGCCTCACCTCCAGCGCGTGTGCGGGGACTGAGACGGGACTTTCCTCTGCAACAGCAGAACCCACCAGTGCTGGTCCTGCACCTACAGCAGACCCAGACCAGGCTGGAAGCGCTACTCATTTCCAGAGGCCAGTGCCAGGCGGGCATGATCCTGGCAAGTCCTCAGGGCTGGGACAGGCTGCGCTGGGTTGAAATTTGATGAAGCAGTAAAAATGGCAGAGTTGAGAAGGAGCACCAGTCCCATTAAGGAAACCTTTGGAGCATTGCAGTTCTGCTCCACCGATTTCTCCCGGGGTACAGAGACTCCAGCAGACAGGCTGCTGGTGGTTGGTTTCTATCGGCTCCAGGCTCTGGATCCAAGACAGACCAGTCAGTGCAGTGGGTTTGCCAGGACCAAACACAGTCCTGGCTCTCAAGCCCCTTCTGGGCTTTCACCCAGCTTGAGGGCCATCCTCCTCCCCTGCCGACACAGCTTTAACCAGGACCACCACCCTGGGAACAGGCAAAGAACGAAAGCTGCTCCTCTGAACATGACAACACACACAAATTCAATGAAATCATTAGAATTGTTTCTAGCTGAGATATTTTATGGTTTCATCTGAACACCAAAATTATGCCAGAATGGAAAG